TGGGAGTTAGATCTCCCCTTCATCTAAGAAAGAATCCCTCAGATAAATCTCCACAGTTGAGGAATCAAATCAGTGGAAGGATTATATTAAATATTCTTCCATAAGCTTAAATTTTGTAAATATTCTGCCCTTAAAATAGAAGTTTTTTTTTTTTTTTTTTTACCTCAAAGAGGAGTGAATACCAGGAATTAAACTCCTCAAAAGTCATAATTGTGCATCATGTCTTTGATGGGGTATGATTTATGCAGAGCATATGAAATAAGATTTGTCCCCTGACAAACGTTGGTGTACCTTAGAAACAGGTTAGAAGTTCGAATGAACTCTAAAAAAAGTATAAAACAAGAGGTTGTAGGCCGCTAATGTCTTTAATATTTACAAAACATTAAATTACTACAAGATTAGATGCACTTAAAACTGTTTAAAATTTTAACATTAAACCTATTGCAACATAGCATCATAACTGGAACATCACTTATGGATGCAAGGAAGTCTTACTATTACTACTCAACGTTCTTCAACATCAAGAACAAAATTGCCCCTATTAGCAACTGACGACGAATAGGCATTGGCAGACTCAACATTCCCTAGCTAATCTCCCTCATGAACCAATAATTGACTTGATTCAAATTTTCGTTTCGATGTTAAAACTTTCTACTCTAATTCAACAACAAAAAAACAAAGACGAGAAATAAATTCCCTGCGGAATTGGAAGTAGCAGCAAACACATACCAATTCACGTAAAAAAAAAAAACGTTTTGAAGCAACAGACCTCATAAACCGACTCACGAATCGCAAGCGACAGATAATCACTCGGCGACGAGGAAGAAATCCTCTGCGCAGAAGCAGCAGAGACCACAGAGCTTTCTTGCTGAACACCAATATCATCCTCACGATCTCCCCCTTCGTCAACATCGGACATCAACGCTTCCGATTCACTCCACTGATCCTCCTCAGTGGACATGGAGAAACACTTGGTCCTGGAAGATAAAATCATCCTGCACTTCCGCGACGGAGGCAAAGAGGAAAGCCATGGAGATCGGAAGAAGCGCGATACGGAGCCGAGGTCAGAAATGAGAAGGTGGCGAGAGGACGAGGAGAGTGCTTGAGGAGGGAATCGAATGAGTTGTAGGGATGGATAGAGCGCCATTGGAGAGCGATACGAGCTCTCTGGTTGTGAACATTAAATGGGTTTTGAGCTTTTCTCGGAAGAAGAAGGAAAAAGAGGCGTAGTATTTATATATGGAATTAAATACGAATGGATAATGTTGAATAAATATTTTAATAAATAAAAAAATAATTAATTAGAAAAAATTTATGATTTGATTTCTCTCATTGGTTAAGGAGAGGTAGTTGCTTGGTTTCTGATTCGTCCAATCTTGGGATCTCCAATTAATTTCTAAATGGATAAAAATACATTTAAATTTTATTATAAAAAATAAAAAATACTCTTAAATTTTCTAAAAATTTCAATAATATTAACTTCAAATATATATATATATATTTAAAAATACACTGATAAAATATTTAAAAAATACTCTTTCTTTTAAAATTATTTAAAAAAATACTTGAGTTTTCGAAAGTTTCGTTCGTTTCTTAAATCGTTCGTTTCTTAAAAATTCAAAAATATTCTTACTATTAGTATCACATTTCAAAAATATTTATTAACTTATTTATGAAGTGAGTGATTTCATAATGAGATTAAAAAACGATGCTTCTTTGGTCACCAGTCATACCTACTCACGCCGGTATGAGAGCCCAAGTTATGCAAATATGATGTAGTGAAAGGTGCATGGTCACCAGTCATACCTACTCACGCCGGTATGAGAGCCCAAGTTATGCAAATATGATGTAGTGAAAGGTGCATGGTCACCAGTCATACCTACTCACGCCGGTATGAGAGCCCAAGTTATG